TCATTCATAAAAGAAAAGATTTTGAACTTAGCATTATTATCTACCATTATATCAATGTGTGGCAGTAGAAAATAATCTTTTAGATTTGCTTTATTCAAATCTCTATAGTTAACACACATTCGAACTTTTTCATCATTATTTGGAAAAGACACAATATTGGTCACCCATTGAGGATACTCATCAGTCACAAGAAAACCAACATCAATCTACTTCTGAACCTCTTCTTTAATCTTCACAGCCATGTTAGGATGAGTTCTTCTTAATTCCTGTTTCACAGGTGAGAATTCAGGCTTTAATGGAAAACGATGCTCCACAATATCATTATCAAGACCAGGCATGTCTTGATAGGACCAAGCAAACACGTCAACATATTCTATAAGAAGATCTACCATCCTCTTCTTAACATCTAACTGAAGTAGTGCCCCAATCTTGACTTCTTTCTTATCATCATTGGAACCTAAATTAACCAATTCCATCAGTTTTTCATGAGGTTGAATGGTCTTTTCCTCGTGCTCAAGCAATCGGGAAATTTCATTAGGAATCTCTTCAACATTATCTTCTTCCACTTCAAACATAGTGAACTCAAAGTTGGGAGAGGGCATAGGGTTATTGTTTTCAATGGGTTTAACAAACAATCTGCACAATGATTTATATTTGATTTTAAGATATGAACAAGAAGTGCAACTACTATGCAAATAAAAGTGATTATCACATTATTATTTTTTGGTTCTTTATGTTACCATTTTCTAGAAATAAAGCAAAAAGGGAAAATATAATATGGATAAACAAAATAACATTTTATTGATGATGATAAAAGTTGAAATAAAGCCCTCACAAATTCACTTTCACCTTGGGCAGAGTGAAAGGCTTTTTAAAAGAAACAAAAACGAATTACTTTGAAACATGAACAATAGTAGGAATGTCAACAACGATCCAATTTTGGCACATCAATCCACGCGTCATAAAGTTGGGCATCATCTGTCTCATAATTGTATCCAGGATCTACCAAATAAGGCTCCCAGTCTTGAGCAGGAATGGAATCATCTTCAAAACTATCTGAGGTGTAATCTTCAGAGTCATCTTCAAGAATTGCAGCTGTAGAATGATCTTTGGCATGGATGAACCCATCACTTTGAGAAACCTCATAAATACTCTTCAGCTCTTTGCGGGTTGAACCAGGTGCGAAACCTAAACCAACTCTATCTTTTTTCTCAGCAAATTCAATGGCTCGGCCCATCCATCAGCTTGGCCACTCTTCAGCACATATTGTGCATCTTTCAGAGAAGACATGGACACCCCATTCTTCTTAACAGCATTATCAACCACATAAAAAGCATGGAACGGAGTTCCAACATCCTCGTCAACATCAATATAAGAAAAAGATGACAAACTACTCACCAACATAGCCTGTTCTCCACCACCAACAACAACAAGTTTGCCATTTTTAACAAATTTTAACTTTTGGCGTCCTAGAAGAAAACTGTAAGCAGAACTAATATCCATTACCTAAAAAGTAATCTGAAATAAGTATTAACCTATCTTGATAAGGAGATCAACCTCTCCATTCGCAGTCTTCCTCAAGCCATTGAAGGCTTTCACAACGACCCTACTAAATCTCATAAGAGTACCTTGATAAGACAATCTGGATAAAGTAAATTTTGGCATCACATTCAATGGTGACCCGGTATCAACAAACACATTGGACAGGGCGTCCTCCTGGCAATTCATTGGAAATATGGAGAGGCAAATTATGATTTCTTCCATGTTCAATTAACTCTTCATCATAAAATCTCATATTATTACACGCAGCGATATTGGCAACAATGTTATCAAACTGATTAACAATCACATCATGATCTACATAAGCTTGCTCCAATATTTTCTACAAAGATTCTCGATGAGCCTTAGAGCTCCTTGCTTTCAAGATTACTTAAATACAAAAATTTTACCAAGATTACTTAAATACAAAATTGTTTGTGTTCCAATCATTCATGACATCTTGCCAAAGAGTTGTAATACTTAATAAATAATTAATAAAAAATGGATAATGCTAACTTATGCCCCAAGGGCACAAGGTAAGAACTAAATTAAAAAATTTTGTCTTGGAAATTGTATCCAAACTTTAATTAAAATATAAGATTAATTTTTAAATTGTTTTTTCCAATACGAATTTACTATAAGTGGGTTTTTTAACTTGTGCCATTGGACACAAGTTAACATTACCCATAAAAAATAACACTCAGTGAAAGAGTATGTTTTATCAAGAGTTGTAATATTTAGTAAAAATTTACAAAATTTTGGCGCAATATTTAGTAAATTTTACAACACTTGACGTAAGAGTGTGTTTTATTAAAGAATTTAATATCAAGGTCGCAAGCTTACGAAATAATACTATCACTATTACAAAAAATATATGTAACCTCGGACACGAAGTTGATTTCATCTCGATTACAGAGGCGAGGTAACGAGGACGTCATAAAAAGCTGACGTTTTACCGCTCAATTTTAGAATAACGGAAAGGATAGTTTAAATGGTCATTGATTCGATCTCCAACGATAACTTTTTCTTTATATTTTTAAAACTAACTCTCGATTTATTAATAAAATCAAGAATATATATATATATATATATATATATATATATATATATATATATATATATATATATATATATATATATATATATATATATATATATATATATATATATATATATATATATATATTCTCATTACTTTATTTACACATAATATTAATAAATTTGCTTACAAACTACATTGTTTACACATATTATTAATAAATTTGCTTACAAACTATATTATTTACACAAAATATTACATTTGTTCTTCATCCTCATCGCTGTCGGTGAATAACAAATATTAGATATTTTAAGAAATAATAAATGTTAGGAGTGGTCGGTTCATTGATCTTGAAAAATATCAAATGTCTAATATAAAAAGACGTTAGATAAACAAAATATATATTTAATTATATGATAATTTAAGAATACATACCTTGAACCTAAATAATTTTTTATTCTTGCAATTCATCCTAGAGAAAGTTTTTCAAATGAAATTAACAGATTTTTATATTTTAAAGTTTTCATGTCAAATGTTTCATTATCAAATTTTAATATTCATAATATATTTATAATTAAAATTTTAGATTTCACGCGTATCATGACGGTGTGTTGATACTCATTAAATGAACGATAAAGATTCATTTAAAGACAGTGAAAAAATTAAATAAACATGCTTATATTTTACCTCAGCTATTACTCAAAAAAAATATAATTTATCACAAACGTCACATACCTCTCAATTTCAATAAAAATCTTTTGATTTTTTTTAGTTATATTATTTTTATAGAATATTAAAATAAATTATTTAAATAAATCTAAATTTTTACAATAAATTCATAAAAAACAACAAAACCAAAAATATTTGTATTTGTAATTTCATAAGATTTTATTATCTCAAATGTTTCTTTGACAAATGTTTTCACATAAAAAAGAATAAAATAATTATGCTTAAAAATAAATTTTTTAATGTTATCAACTGAAAAAAACAATAAATTTTTTAATACAACAACACTATTATATTAAAATAAATTATAAAAACAGAAAATATATTTTACTTAAGATAAAAAAACATAAATAGAATGTTTATAAAATAAATTACAAAAACAGAAAATATATTTTACTTAAGATAAAAAAACATAAATATAATGTTAAAATTTGCTTATAAATAGAAATGAAGGGAATATAACAACATCAACACTATTATTCCAATAGATTATATTTAATTCAAGATAAAAAAACGTTAAAAAAAATTTCTGTCTTCCAATCTATGAATTTAAAATATATTATTTTAATAATATATTAAATTTATAAAAATAAACTATTTTGTATTTAAAAAAATTAAAGAATGAATTTAAAATATATTATTTTAATAATATATTAAATTTATAAAAATTAAATAACTTAAACATTCCTAAGTCTATCAAAATTTTCAAAAGAAATGATATTCTTACTCTTACTTGTTTCCAATAAAAAATGATAAGTAAAATATTATAATAATTAATATTTCATTTTATCTAGTCAATTATCAAAATAAATACACTATTTCATATTTAAAAACAATCATATACAAATTTGAAGGAATATCTTTTTAAAAAAATAAAAATAAAAATACATTTTACGATTTTCATTTTGTCTAGTCAAGAATCAAAAATAAAAATAAAAAATGATATTCTTACTCTTACACCACACTTTATAAACTTTTCCAATAAAATGAAAAGTAAAATATTATAATAATGAATATATTAATAAACAAAAATAAAAATATTTTTATTAAAAAATAAAATAAAATAATATTTTATTAATCAAAATTATTTTATTATTAAAAATTATTTAATATTTAAATATTTATTAATTAATTTTACAATTTTATTAATTAATATTTTATTTTTTATTAACCAAAATTAAATCATTTAATATCCAAATGTTTGTTTAATTTATAAACTTCTTTTCATTTTTCTTTTTAATTTTAATTAATTAAAATTTTAAAAAAAAAACAAATAAACATTTATTAATCATAATTATCATTTCATTTAACACACTATTAAAAAAAAAATAGTGTGTAACTGTAGGAGTGAGTATAGAAATAGCATAACTGTACAAAATAAGGTGAGATAACACTAAAATAGATTGTTTCATATTCATATTAGAAAGAAAAAAAGTCTTGCAAACTTGAAGATGGGGAGAATTATCCTATAGATAAGTCTAAACTCCAAACATTACAAGAAACAAACAAACCTAAGACATTAACATCGTCTATAACACTTGCTATAGCTACTTTATTCCAAAAACAAAAAAACACTAGACACTTTGATCACTAGTTAGCTATACATAACCAACCTTACGACCAAATCAACCTAAAAAAACTAGTTTGATACACATTGAAGTTAGCTAGCATATGAACACAGACAACATGTCGATCATCACTTGTTCTGATTCTTACCACCAGTCTTGTACTTGGACTCATCAATGTCAACACCTTCCTCTTCAGCACCTTCCTCTTCAGCACGTTCTCCTCCTGACTTATCCATAGTGCTCAACCCACCTTTACGTCCCATTTCCTGATACCCTTCTGTCCCAATCTGCTCCTTCCTTGTCTGTCCTCCCCTGCTCCTCCCTTCAGCAAGATGCTCCTGAGCTTCAAGGCTCTTGCCTCCAGTGCCACCTGGAACAACTGTCTCTCCTTGCTTTGCCTTTTCATCGAGTTCCTTGCGGTTTTGTTGTTGAGATGCCATCTTTTGGATTCTTTGTTGATTATGATTATGATTATCTTATGCTATGTAGTGTAAGTTTCTTGTGATAAAGACGAAGGTTTAAGGGGTTTATATAAGATAGTAAAGTTGATAAATTAATTAAATAATTAGGGTTGCATGATTAATATTTTAAGAGTGGTAAATATTTGAGGGATAACAAGAAGATGACAGCAGGTAAATAATGAACAGTAAGAGTGGTTGTACGCTGTCCGTACCACCAAATACAATGTCAACAAGATAGTTCCCCTGCAAAAGTATAATTCATAAACTAGCATTTAAAACCAAAAACTAACAGTGTTTTAAGTCAAACTTAACTTTTTTTAGCATTTAAAACCAATCACTGTCCCATTTGGACTCTTATTGCTCTGTTGGAAGCAACATATAAATCATTAATGAATGTAATGTTGCGTTAGGTTATGTACCAAGCAAACACACTATTGAAAGAAAAACAGATATAAACCTCTACTAGTCTTTAAATAGTTATTTTGGTCTCTAAATGTGTAAAGTTGTGTCACTTTAGCATCTGAATGCATCAGAACTTGAAAAATATCTTTGTGTGTCGTCTATTAGTAAATTCATACCAAACTAACAAACAAAAGACACATGTGAGATCAAACCTAACTAATAAAAGACACATTTGAGAACTCCACTAACTAGTAATAAACACATTCAGAGATGATTTTGTAATTTAGATACATTGAAAAGTTATAATAACACCACCTAACATATTCAAAAACTCAAATGATTATTTAGTCACTTATAAAACCTTAGAAACAACTTAATATTAGAAAATACATATTAAAAATTACATAAGAAATGTTATATACCATATGCTATGCAGCACTGACACGACACTATCCATGCGATTACGTTTAACCATTTATACTTTATCAAAATTATTACTAATATTAACGTTTGGCTATTAGTATTGTATTCTTTATGGGAACATAAAGCCAGCTTGGTGGCTGAAATGAGGGAGGCAAGAAGAGGAGTGATAAGGAGTTCCAAAGTTCGATCTCCACTCTCACCATAATACTAACTATTGCTGAGCCTGAAAGTTTATTGAAAATTTAACTAATAGCTTCAAAGACAATGAAGCACGAACACGATACAAGTATCAGATACGCATCCAATACGGCTATAAATTACTAATTGTTTGATCCCTCATTCGACTATCTAAACATCGGCTCACCTTAACTCGATCATAAGTCGTTTTAAGCTAGCAACTAACAATACTAATACTAGCAATTTAAAAAAAATATTGTATAATTTCTTCACTTCAAGACTTAAAAGGTTGTATTAGTATTATCATAGAGTTAGTAAGAGAGATAAGCATAGTTAAATATGGAGAATAGTTAGGTGAATAAATATGACAAACAGATGGAGTGCATGATTTGACCTGAAGAAAACGAAGTGGAAGATCTCCGTCTTTGGTGGAAGCCAACCACGTACCACCGCAGATAGGAGGAAGCTTCGACGTTCTTTTCCTGAAGTCGTTAATGATTCCTCGCATTCCCCACCATATCAGTAGATCCACAATTATATAAGACAGCTGGAAATTGCAGGGAAATATGGGTATGTTGATAAGGAAGTCCAGCAAGTATTCATAAAAATAGAAAAATCAGATTACGAAATATCGTTTCGGCAAAGAACATACCCAATAACCAGCGCCTTGAGGAACACGTGCCAAAGGGTGGGGAAACGCATAGGTTGGCCTGCGTATTTAATAATAAAAAAATGTAACAGAACTCAGTTTGTAGTTTTAACTAAACATTTTAGTACTGCATGAATACTATTCAAGATCTCAAAATAACTTGTATCTTGTTATTGAAATTTATCTTGCTAATATATAAATGTGAATAAGCTATTATAACAGATTAAACTCACGTCCATGGCCTTGTGAAGAAGATGTGAATAGGCATCCCAAGGGCTTCGGCAACATGTACATGCCCTGCAAGCCGGAAACAACAATATAATTCTCTCTACTAAAAACCATGTGCTTGGCAAACTTGCAAAGCATGACAATTATCATGTTACAATAAAATATCTATTGGCACTTAATCCTTGAAAGAAAAATCAATTATAAGATATGGAATTGAAAAATATGAATACGCAATAGGGGTGGCAAATGGACATGTCTACCCCACACAAAAAAACGGGGCGGGGCAGGCGGGAATTGTTGACGGCACGGGCATAAAACCTTGGTCTTCCCCACGAGAAAATGAGAGCGGACCTTTAAAGTTTAAAACTACAAAAGTTTAAGTTAATGCCTTTGCCTGCAAAAAACGGGGCAGTGCGGGCATATTAGAGGATGCAGGCATAAAATCTTGTCACGTCCAGCGGAAAAGTGCGGGTAAAACGGGCATGCCCAACAGGCCAGGTCCGTTTTGCCACCCCCCTAAATACAATAATCTTCTAATCACTCACCATATGCAGGATGGTTGGCAATAATAGCCTGAGCTGTGAAGGGAATGCCAGTTTCTGAATCAGGTGTTGTGCAAGCTGGAAGAAGAGAATCAATTATGGCCTTCAGCTGCTTTCTTTGGATTGATATTTCTGTCGTACAATCAAACGGAGTAGTTTGCTTATGAATGTCCAATTGTTTGATCATTTTGATAAAAAGTACATAGTAAGTTGATAGGAAAGATCAATAGAATAGTTCATTGATAATGAACATAAATTGCAGAAATGAGAAATCAACCAGAGTAGTTTGATTATTTTGATAAAAATTACATAGTAAGTTGATAGGAAATATCACAAGAAGCAGAACAACAAAAGTTGATAAGAATTTTTCTAAGAGATATTTAGAGTGCTAACTACTGTTTCGTGCAGGTATTATTATGACACTGTTAAATTAATGACTAATTTATTTGAGTTTGGAAAGCAATTTTCTAAATGTAAGGCATCTCAGTAACAACTTGAAAGATTTAAAAAGATTGAAACTTCAAAAATTTCACAGTATAGCATTACTCACCGCTTTTGGGATAAGAAAACCGGAAAGAAGATTCCACAGGGAGTAAAAAGCTGAAGAAATAACAGCAGCTAGCTGTTGTGAAGCTGTAAAACCAACCGCCATCATTCCATAAAAGGTGTAGGTAAAGGTTAGGAACATGAACAATAGATAGAGAAAAACTTCCCTGCAATAATTACAATTATACATTAGAAGTGAAATCTCCAAACATATAAAACAACTAATATATGAATATATGGAAAGTTGATATTTTACCGGCAATCTTCTCAAAGTTGACCATTAAATATGTTATCAAGCCAAACACCAATGTCTGAACAGCAATGTATGGGATTTCTATAAGCCCCTGAAAGTCAGATTAAACAATCATTATAAGTAAATAATTTAGCTGAAAAATTAGCCATGTGATAATTTTAAGTGTTGTAATGAGACCTACCTGGGCTGCTGCATATGGTAATGGACAGTACATTCCTGCTGCTTTCTCTCTATAAACTTTCTATTGAAACATTCGGCTGTACAGAAGAAGCATTGTTTACCCCAAGAAACAAGCAAGCAGAATAAAGAGCTCCCATAAGCACAAACAGCTCTTGAGTTGATGCTCTACATAATATCATTGATAGTTACTGCGTCAGTCAAACTGAATAAAGCCGCTTACCCTTTTTTATTTGATTTAAAGTTACATTCATGAAATAACTCCTTTACAATAAATGAAAACTAGGAAATATTACCTTTTTGAACCAACATCCCAAAATACACTTCCAAATATCAAAGCACTGATTGTGGTGAAGTATAGCCTCATTGCATTATATGCTGGGCTTCTCCAGTACACAAGATTTTGTTTCCATAAGCACAGGAAAAATTGGGACAAAGAATTTTGTGAATACGTTGTGTCAAACTTCAGTGGTTCGGATCCAGTAGGAGGATACTCAAATTCCAAAATAGATGCCTCCACCCCTCTGATAAAAACATTGATAATTGGATTAAAATTGGATTATAAAAACTGGATTAGAAAAAACAGTTTGGATAATTGGATTAAAATCCAGTTCAGATTGGATAACTGGATTTGATAACTAAACACCAGTTAAGATAACTTGATTTCAAAACCACTTCGGATTTGATAACCGACTTTAGTTAAAACCAGTTTAGATCGGATAACCAGTTAGTTACCCAACCAGTTCGGATAACTGGATTCAAAACCAGTTTGGATAACTGTTTATTAAAACCAGTTCGGATAACTGGATTCAAAACTAGTTTGGATAACTGTTTATTAAAACCAGTTTGGATAACTGTTTATTAAAACTAGTTTGGATAACTGTTTATTAAAACCAGTTTGGATAACTGGATTTGAAACCAGTTCGGATAACTGTTTCTTAAAACCATTTTGGATATCTGGATTAAAACCAGTTTGGATAGATAGTTTAGAAAACCAGTTCGGCAAACCAGTTTGGATAACTGAATTTGAGAACCAGTTCGGAAATCTGGATTTGAAAACCAGTTCGGATAATTGGATTTGAGAACCATTTTGGATAACTGGATTTGAACCAGTTCGGATATCTGGATTAAAACCAGTTTGGATAACTGGATTTGAACCAGTTCGGATATCTGGATTAAAACCAGTTCGGATAACTGGATTTGAAAACCAGTTCTGAAAACCAGTTTGGATTCTGAAAACCAGTTTGGGTAACTGGATTTGAAAACCAGTTCTGAAAACCAGTTCGGATAACTGGATTAGAAAACCAGTTCAGAAAACCAGTTCGGATAACTGGATTTGAAAACCAGTTCGGATAACTGGATTTAAAAACCAGTTCGGATAACTGTTTCTTAAAACCAGTTCGGATAACTGTTTCTTAAAACCAGTTCGGATAACTGGATTTGAAAACCAGTTCGGATAACTGGATTTGAAAACCAGTTCGGATAACTGGATTTGAAAACCAGTTCGGATAACTGTTTATTAAAAACCAGTTCGGATAACTGGATTTAAAAACCAGTTCGGATAACTGGATTTAAAAACCAG